AGAATCTCTCTGTATAAAAAATCACTAATCTCGATTTAATCATCAAATCTATTTAACTATTAATATGGACATTACAAAGTTCAAAATAGAAATTACGCGTTTGACATATTTGACAGCTGATGCGGAAAGTAGATATTCACACACGGGTGGAAAGTAGATTGTTAACAACACGCGTGTGATAAACGGCACTTTCCGTAAGACTAAATAGTGTGATATGTATCAACTTCCTAAGTGGTCGTAGAAAAAAAAATTACTCCTAGTCAGTATAATTACCTAAATTTTTATGGCATATACGGCTAAGTGTGTACTACTTTGATAAATACACTGCTATACATTATTGTATCGATGGTTTTTTTACATTTTACACTATAACTAACTACTTTACTCTACATTTGAGAAAATATTAATGTACAAAAACCGTTAAGGAACTAAAACAAGATTGCTTTTCACCGAGTTTATCAGTTACACACAAAACTCATTAAATGCGATATGGGTGTTTTTTTTACAAGCATGTTTATAAATTGTAAACACGGATGCCCTAATTGATATCTAGTGAGTCTTCTTTAACCATTTGGTATACCATACATTTAAAATCAATGTTTTCGTTCCCGTTTCTTTCATTTTCTATGTTTCTAAAAGAGGAAGTAATAAACATTTTTTCAAAGTAAGTGGAATGATGTGTCGATTGATATGTTACACATCTTATGGTTTTCAAAACTATTAGTACGGGGTTCTACTGCTTTGAACGGCTTCGTACAGTCTGCTTTTAAAATTATTTGATTGTCTGGTAATATTGAAGAGTTTTTAAATATATGTTTTTTGAATTTTTATATTTTTCCATTATGGACAAATTACCCCGTACATAATAATCGTTTATAGCATATCAAATAAATAATTGTACTACAGTCTATATTGGCTTACCTCCAAAACCTAAAAAAAAAACGAAAGAGTTCTTGGAAATTAAAAATATAGCAATAAAATAAAATACCTTAGGTACAGAAGGTATGTTATTGGAATCTTATTGTAAGTTACATTCTATAGTATACTTTTCACAGTTTAACAGGCCCCCTTAATCGACCATTTTTATTCAGATTTCTTTCAGAATCAATGTGCTTCATCCCCTTATAGAGCTTGATTTTTACTAAAAATTACATGTTCATATCGCTTTTCGTTTTTGATTTATGATTTTTTGAATTTTATTCTCCCATGAGTCCCCATTTTTTTGATATGGTTTTTCGTTTTTGATTTATGATTTTTTAAAATTTCAGTACCTTTTAACTCCCCATTTTTAATCAGATTTTTTTTTTTTAATTAATAGGCTTTATCCCTTAATGCGCTTGATTTTTCTTGAAAATTTCAAGTTGACATATTTTTTTCGTTTTTGAATTATGATTTTTTTAATTATTTCAACCTCTCTTAACCCTCCATTTTTAATCAGATTTATTTTTTTAAATCAATAGGCTTTGTTCCCTTAAAGAGCTTGATTTTTCTTGAAAATTTCGACAAAAAACGTGACCTCGCACAGACGGACGGACATTTTTAAAAGTTGTTTAAAATTTGTTAAGGATTTTGGTACAAAAATTTTTAAATTAGGATAAATATTAACAAATTTTAGTTTCTCGGAAGTAAACCTATAATATTCATGTGTGAAGATTAGGATTCAGAGATATAAAATATGTATATTTTTATAAAAGCAATTGTGACATGTCTCCGGGTATAAAGATAGAAGTCATAATGACAATCCTACTAATATATAAAAAATGCGAAAGTTTGGATGGATGGATGTGTTGCATGTTTGTTGCTCAGTCACACAAGAACGTTGTTCACAGAGCAAGGGATCGGACATGATTTTTTGCATACTGATAGTGAAACATGAAAATTTGAAATACTGCTACTGAGCATAAATAAATAATGACGTATATCAGTGTTTTTGGATTTTCACATTTAAGGAGAGGGGGGGGGGTTGAAAGTTTGCATGGAAGCATATTTCTTTATAGGTATGAACTTGAAAATTGGAATTATAGGTACTCATCACAAATAAGTATTGGTGTGTGGTTTTTGGATAATCATATTTCAAGATGGGATAGATGGAAAATGGGGGATAGATGGAAAATGGGGGATAGATGGAAAATGGGGGATAGATGGAAAATGGGGAAAAGAGAGAAAATGTGGGAAAGAGGGGAAATGGGGGAAAGGTGTGGGGCGTGAAAGTGTATGGTAGGAATTGAAATAGAGATGTTTTTAAGGTATTTGGATTTTTACGTATTAAGGGGGGAAACAGGAGGTGGAAGTTTAAATAATATTTTCGGCTTTTTAAAGGTAATGACTTGAAAATTGAAATTGAAATTACTCATAAGTAAATAATGACCTATTTCAAGGTTTTTGGATTTTCACATTTTAAGGAGGGAGGGAATGGGGAGTATCGTCAAAATAAATAAAAATATATAAAAATATATAAAAATATATAAAAATATATAAAAATAAATAAAAGAAATACAATAAATGAAAATAAATTAAAAGTAATAAAAATTAATAAATAATAATAAAAACTAATAAAAATTAGTGACAATTAATAAAAATTAATAAAAATAAATAACAATAAATAAAAATAAAAATGAATGAAAATAAATAAAAATTATTTAAAAGTAATAAAAATTAATGAAAATGAATTTAAAGTAATAAAAATTAATAAAAACTAATAAAAAGTAATGAAAATTAATAAAAATTATTAAAAACTAATAAAAATTAATGAAAACTAATAAAATGTAATAAAATTTAATGAAAATTAATAAAAATTGAAAAAATTAATAAAAATTAGTGAAAATTAATAAAAATTAATAAAAATTAAAAAAAATTAATAAAAATTAATAAAAATTAATAAAAATTAATAAAAATTAATAAAAATTAATAAAAATTAATAAAAATTAATAAAAATTAATAAAAATTAATAAAAATTAATAAAAATTAATAAAAATTAATAAAAATTAATAAAAATTAATAAAAATTAATAAAAATTAATAAAAATTAATAAAAATTAATAAAAATTAATAAAAATTAATAAAAATTAATAAAAATAATAAAAATTAATAAAAATTAATAAAAATTAATAAATATTAATAAAAATCAATAAAAATTAAATTAATAAAAAATTAGTAAAAATTAATAAAAAAATTTGGCATATATCGCATGAAAAAATGTCTCTCGAGTAACGAAAACTGTTTGAGAAATTCCAGCGAAGCGGAATCGGGTCAGCTAGTGAAAATATATAAATACTCGACGCCTGGGTAGTCATGACATGAGGTTAGCTCAATCTTTATCATTTACTAGGACTGTCTCAGTAGTTAAAATGTTAATTAATATATTATGACGAGATGAAAGAGATAGTATGTAGTACGTGCGATGCACTACAATACTTGCCTTTTTAAAATTTGTTAAATATAATATATAATACATAATTTAACGTCATAATATTCAATTTCATATCAAGTTTATTGATAGCAAAATGATATTTACAACGATCAAAAGATGTTCCCCTTGACACCAAACTTACCCTATCAGAGCGGTTCCCTTTTCAATATAATAAAATATTTGTTATGTATTGTTGCGTGTTGTAAGATTTTTTTTTAATGATTGTTTTTTGGAAGAAAAATGTCTGTAAAAGAAGGTTTGTTTGATGAACTAGCTATTTGGGTATTAATAGCGAAAAGTGATACTTTGCCGCTTGAGACAGAAAGCTGGCCCTGCGACGCGTAGCGGAGCGCAGCAATCTGTCGAAAACAGCAACAAACTTTTCGCTCAAAATGCACACAATATTTTTGCCACGATCACAATATTTTAAGAAATAGATATAAAAACTGAGAATTTGTCATAAGTAGTTTATAATGTGTTACATATATCTAAGTTGATCATGAAAACCGGAGTTGATATTCAAATTTAGTGTTAACTTGGATAATAAAACAATAAAACATCAAACTACGTACAGATAACTTGAAAATCATTTATTAAAAAGAAATAATATATCTAATTTAAAGCTGTCAAGTTTTCCGCTCGGCGGGCGACAAAGCAATCACTTAATGTCAGTTCGCTTAAAACGTCAACTTTGCGGTTGTATTTCAAAGCGCCTACTTTGGATAGTGATCGTAGAAAAAATGTTTTAAATTGTATTTAATAATTTGAAAAATTTGGTAGATATGTTTGGTTACAAAAGTATTTTTCGAAAAAAAATGTGAGAGTAGAACAACTCAAAAATAAGAAATAAGTAGGTTTTTGGTCTGATGATCCCGGTTGTCTTGCAACTTTTCCACTTATTTGGGAAAATAATGTCTAAAAACAAAAACCCCTGTACTTTCCGACTAATGACAGGCCTGAATTTTGATTTTTTACTTCCGTCACATTTTTTGCATGACCACCGAGGACATAAATTCTTGTGAATTTTTGTATTTGAAAATGTTGTTTATTTTATTGACTTCTATGCACAGTAAAAAAGAATTTTCAACTTGGGAATCATCCTGTATAATAACAACTGAAGCACGTTATTAATACATAAACGAGGTGAATAGGGTATAATCGATTCGACTGTTGTATTCACCAAAAGTGATCTAACATCATGCAAACCTTTTTTTACCGCTAGTTTAACTCCTAAATTAAATTTTAATGTATGGTCACAGTTTATAGCTAAAGAATCAGTTCGCTCACTCTGCGTCGGCACTTTTGATCTCAATGTTCCAGTTTATACACTGCGCAACTCGGATTTGTATCCCTGGCGCATACAGAATCAAATCAGAACCAATACAATATATGACAACCGCCTACTATATTCAAACAGCAGTCTTCTGCGCATCCTGAATTTGTATCCCTGGAGTGGATTTTATTTTGAAACATTCAACTGGTCCAAGTGAGCTAACTGATTCTTTAGCAATAAACTGTGGTATGGTTAAGATTTTGAGTTATATGTATTTGTTTTTATTGATTTTTATAGTTTAGTATTTCTTTTGTTTCAGAAACTTAGCAATGGTGAAGTGGCGACATCCTGATGTCGCGACGCATGCCTTCACAACGTCGCCATTCACCGTTAGATAACAATCCCTATCAGGTAATTTTTTTTTAAATTCTGATTATTTTATTTTAGAGATATATTAACTATAACATCCACTAATAAGAAGTTGGCAATACAGCTGACAGACAACAACTGGAAAAGCAGTTGAACTGTCTAGACCAGAGGTCCCAACCTATTCTGGACCGCCGCCCCTTTTAGAAGAACAAAATTCCAAGGCCCTCCGAAACAAAACATGTAAAAAAGTTATAACAAAAAATTTATTTTTTATAGAAATCAAAATCAAAAACCAGTGGTAAATTTTTGCATATGAGCTATTCAATTATTGTTCAAAAGGTGTGGCTTGTACGGTGAACTATAAGTTAGACATGAGACACAATAGATCCATCTGGGTCGCAGTTGAAGGCGATGAGAGCATCCCATTCATTTTCATCCTAACCTCACACAAAATCAATAAGAAATAAAAAAATGAGATAAACACAAAATTAATAGTAAATAAATAGTATATTATGCGCCAAGGTAGAGAAGTGAGTTATTTTGTCGAGGTCCATTAAAGACCGAGAAGCGAATCTCTACCGTGGCTCATATACTATTTTTTTCACTACTAGCATTTTAATTAAAAAAAATAAGTTTTTAAAACTAATAAAAACGATTTCAAACTTTTTTTCAAATCAAATCCTCCATGCTTGTGACAATTAAATGTAAAACACAAACGTCAGTTTAGTACCTATAGAATTTACAGTTTATACGTAGAATTAAATGAAATTTTTTTTGCTGGTGGTCGAGTTAGTCACAAAATTAAAAAAAAATGAGTGATTCTAGCGGTTGTACTCCTCCTGAAATTAAAGCACTGGCCGAAGAAGTAGAACTATTACCAAAAAAATCACAAGGAATATACGAAAAGGCCTACATTTCATATAAAAAATAGTGCATTTCAGTTAACCTCAAAAACTGTCAAAATATGAACTGATATCATTTACATAAAATACAGTAGGTATATAGTTATCAGGTAGGCTCTGTAATTCTCTCCCTAGGTTAATAATGAACCACTTTTCTACCTGAAAATCAGTCAATAAAGTTAGCTTGTAAAGCTAGAAGTGAAAAAAAATAATAATGAGATGGTTGAAACTGGTGAAGTTTTATCAAATTGTTAATGTCTGGTTCCAATTTCGTTAACAACAATCGCCGATCGCCACGTTCAGTGACAATTCTTTGACAGTAAATTAGCTACTGCACTGAATCAAAGCTCAGCCAAATAGCGCGAAGATAATGCGATTAAAAACGTTTGTAGAACTGCCCACAATTTAGGGTAGAGAACTAATATTGATTTTTGGAGTTAAAATTCTTCTATTCATGTTTGAATTTTACTTTGTGTTCTTCGTTAGTTGCTAGTTCTACGAGTTCCTTTTCCAAATTTGATGAATCTTCAGTATCTGCATTTAAAATATATCTTTGAAATTCTCCGTAAAAACAACATGAAGAACCTTCAAGTGTTTGAAGCAAGTAAGTAAATCTTCACGTTTCTGAGAAACTGTTGATAGTCTGGGAAAATGTTTGTATTCACCTCTATCTAGATTTCGTTTGAATAAAAGAAGTTTTCCCGCAAAAGCAGCTATGTCGCTTTTTGATTTAAATAAGTTCAACTCATCACCTTGGGTAATGAGGAATACCTTCTAAAATAAGGCTTTATTTAGCGAAAATTGACATACAAAATAATACATTAGCAATATACATTAAATCTTAGAAACAAAATTCATAGTATAAATACTCTTTAGGCAAATTCATTAAATTAGTTCAACTACATTCGCCCTGGCGTAAAAAGTACACACTAGAAACAAAATGAGCTGGCCAATTGCGACTTAGGCAGAGGCCAAAATAAAGAAAAAGAAGACAGTGGTTATGGTTAAATAGTTATTGTTGAACATTGATAATATTTCAAATAATCTGGTGGTCGTCTTGCTCTCACAGGTCTTTCAGTTATTTCACTATTTTTAGTCGAATTACTGGCTTCGCTATTCGTCGATTTTTGAGTATATTCATATTCACTTGGAATATCAACAACGGCCTGAGGATTGTTTGAATTTGCAGTTTCGTTAAGATCTCCACTACCGTTAGAACGAAGGTTCATATTAACATCAATATTCTAAGGATCCATTGGTTGCGAATTTGTAGTTTCGTCGTGATCTTCACTATTATTATGAAGTATCTCCGCGTGGTGCTAAATATTTTATGGATATGGTAGCCTCCCTTCCATCTTTGAACCTTATTGAAGCATAGTCCGGATTTGCTTCTATTAATTCAGCCTCCTCGACTAAGGGATCATATTTTGTATTTCTTACATGTTTCTAGACTAACACCGGCCCAGGAGAGAGTAACCATGATGGTATAGCATTACCAAAAGTTGATTTTCGAGTGTAAAAAAACATTCTTTCATGAGAAGTGCAATTAATAGCTGTACATAGTAGTGAGCGAATAGAATGCAGTGACTGGAACAGAACTGTTTCCTACTGTTGTACATTCATTCTTTTAGATTTTAAAGCCAACAAAATAGTCTTTCAAATAATAACATAACGTTCACATTGACCGTTCCCGCCTGTAAATATTCCTTTAATTCTAAAGACATAAAAGAACTACCTCTGTCAGAATGTATGTACAAGGGCATTCCAAAGATTGTAAACAGTTGTTCGAGACATTTAATAACAGTATTAGAAGTTATATTGGAGAAAGCAAATGCAAAAGAAAAACGAGAATACTCGTCCACTATTGTTAGAAGATACTTATTATGGTTAGAGGATGGTATAGGTCCTTTAAAGTCTATACTTATTCTCTCAAATGGTGAGGTAGCTTTTACTAAATGACTCATTCTGTTTTTAATAAATTGTGGTTTTATTTCAGCACACACTGGGCAAGAACGTATCATTGTTCGAATTTCCTGAAGAGAATACGGCATATTTCGTGATTTCACCCAATGATACATCCTAGTAATTCCAGGATGGCAAAGCGATGTATGCATATCGAATTGAAGTTTCCGCTAGTCGAGTTACATATCCTTGAGAACTTGTCACTGACAGTATTCTTAGCTCCTGACCTATATATAATTTCGTAACTGTAGCAGGATAACTCTAGACACCATCTTAGTATCTTTCCATTTTTAATTTTATTAGTACGCCTGGTGTTGAAGATAAAAGATACTGACTTTTGATCAGTAGTTAATTTGCCCCGCATCCGTTTGTTACTCCAAATGGAACTCTAAAGAAACTCATAAAGCTTGCAATCGGCTTCGAATGCTGTATATTTTCTTCTTCACGTAGGGGTACTTGATGATAAACACTCTGTAAATCTATAGTACTAAACACCCTGTATTGTGAATCGGCGTTAACTATTTCCTCTATATTCGGCAATGGATAAGCATCTAGGTATGTAAATCTATTGTTTGCGAATAATCGATAACCATCCTCTTTTTATGATTTTCGTTTTTAGTTACGAGGACCTGAGCTCTCCATGGTGAGTTGCTTTCTTGTATTTCTTTTTGTATGAATAATTTATCCTCAACATTATGATGTCGAGATTTCGTAGCTATTGGTTGTAACGTGATATCTTCTTATTCTATCCATTTTTCTAATGTGTTTGAGCTCAATTGATAGGGCGTGGGTTAGGTTTTTAAATAACTCGAATAACTTTGAAAAAGAAGTTGGGCACCACTATATTTAAAGCTTATTACACTTGACTCTAGGTTAGTGATAAAAATATAGAAAATCACTAACCATTAACGAATAATACTTAAACTATGCTTTAGATAAGGTAGTAGCAAATTCTAATTCACATAAGGTTACTAAATTCAAATTTAAGATGATTTATTGAATAAGCACTTATCTTTTGGTAAGTTAGGTAATATACGGAATGTAAAACTAGGATATCTCAAGGTATATCATCAGGCAACTTCCACCACGGATTCGGGATCCTTATTCGTAATTCTGCATAATTCTGCAACGTGAATGATCTTCAGATATATGGTATTCAAACTCAACCGACTTGAGATGAAACGTCTAGGGATGAATTAAAAAAAAAAGTTAGAGATAAATCCAAATCACGTCTAGAGATGAATTAAAAACCGTCTAGAAGATTGAACCAAACCCGTCTAGATATACCCATGAGCTTATAAAATCAGACGGTTTTCAAGATAGATAAAAATCATCTAATACTTCGGATGACCAAGATAAATTAAAATAAAATCAAGTTGATTTTGTCGCTGTCAACCAAACCAAAAATAAATCTCACTAGACGACAAATGACATTTGAGTATGAGGTGGTTGTGTCGAAATAACGAAATAACCGTTACATGGTCTACAGTCAGAAGATAAATTTGCAAAAAGAGTTGGGGAACAAACTTTAGCACAGCTAATGAACATGAAGATAAGAGGAGATCTGGAATTACCAAAATTGACTTCAATTTTCGAATGTTGCGACAGTATATCATGACCAGTGATTATATCTGCACACAGATCTGGTAATACGGATATTCTAAATTGATCATACGTATTGCCCAAGAATTCCAAACTAATAAAACAATGTCCACAAATTTTTGAGAGTAAAGCTGTTGAAGCCATACTAATTTGCCATTTACTTGGTAAACTCAATATTTGCTGATTCGATGAAGTTTTTACTGATAAAATTTTCGGAGCTTCCTGTATCCACAAGTGCATCGCAGATAATTTTATTATTATTATTCTTAATTTTAATCAAGGATTTATGTAAGTAGTTTGGAGTAACTGCTAAAACGTGGGAAAGGGGAGATATAAGAGAAGCTGATGTTGATACAGACTGAGACTTATTGTGTTGTTTCTTTGACATGCAAACTTTGCTAAAATGGCCTTTTATCCTACACGTTTTGCAGAATGAATCACAAGCTGGACAGATACTGCGAGATTGTCTTCTATTTCCACAAAAGAAGCATTTATTGGAAGAAGTTATAGCAACTATGTTATTTTTAGACTCAATTTGGTTGTTATTGTCTTCATTCTCTTGAACAGAGCATACCA